CCAGTATGGTCATTTTATGTGCGCACAGTGACTGTGATACATGTTGTGTGAAACGTCAGTAAAATCACTATAGACATGTAGAGTTATAGTCGTACTGGTGTAAATATAGTATGTACAAAGTAGGGTATATTCAATGAAAATATGTCACGGCTATTTATATTTTATATCTTTTAATAGGATAAATACTTTAACAATGTAACAGGGACATCAGTCGGGGACTTGCTTTAGTCGCTGAACGTCAGATGACCATGCTATATGACTGGCTCACTGTCCGTCACGCCATTTACACTGAAAAGTCAAACTCAATAATATCGCGTTAATCCCCCCTTTATTCTCACGACATGCCGGATTCGAAGAGGCATACTCAAATGTCGAATGTCAACTTGTTCATTCTATTCCAAGTTATTTGAGAGTGGTTGTTTACTATGACGTACGCGCTCCGCCCAGGGATATCCCATACATGTTAGCTGGGTGACAAAACTGAGTGGTTGTCGTGGTAGGCAGGTTATGTTCCCCTTCTGGAGGTGTTCGGTAACAATACGAGCCCTGTGTCATCCTTTGTGTATCCAGGATGTCGTCAAGCCTGATAACGTCCGTGAATAAATATGTTTACAAAGGCGCCAGTCACAGTCTTCCCCTCTACACTATTACGTTGGTGTGTGGTCCCGCGTATAGAGCTCAGTTCACAAATCAGTTGAAGTTCAGCAACGTTAGGTGCGGAGAGTCCATGGATGGGTGACCGTGTTTGGCAGCTTGACTCCTGAGAGTTTCTTGGACTTCAGTCCTGCCCAACAACGGGGTATGTGAATTTGTTCAAAATTGCCTCTGTTCACCCTGTTCACCCAGCAGTGTTAAATGGGTCACAGGCCCGTGTTATGGGATAATCAGTTTCATGTGGAAACTAGGCGATATGCAAACCATTATTAATATTATACTACCCATCAAAAGTTTAGACTCACTTAAAGCACTCACTATATGTTATGTATATGTATGTGGTTACATCGAAGATGAATTTCTCCACCAACTTGGGGGAACCAACTGAAAACCTTATGCAGATGAATTGCACAAGGATGATGCTTCAAATTGCGAAAGGCATGAGCAAATGTCGTGCATGTGAACAGATGCGTGTTGGTGTAAAGTTTTGTTAAGAATTCGCCAATTTTCACAGATTTTAATCATTTACTGAACTCATGACAATAATCTTTTCAATGTTACGAATATGTTTTACAATACACCAGTTCATAACTAAACAGTACCTTTAAACAGTATGGAATATTTTGCAAAAAGCTAGTTTAGAACAGTGGACAAGTAAGTGGCTACATTTACACTAGTGAGTCTAAACTTTTGATGGGTAGTATATTATCATTTTATTATTATAACTGAGCCACGCCCAAAACAATCGTTCCGTCGAGCGTTAACGGCATGACAGCGCACATTCCGTCAACGCCACTCTAATACGCGTGTCAAGGAAGTTCAAAGTGAATCCTTGATACATCCGAAGACATAACAGCGACGTCATGTGTAATGTGACGGTCTGTCAACCGTTTACGTCTGTTGTACCCTTTAACCTATATATGTGCACAGGAATCATACACTCAAGACCATAGTAGGTTTAAGGGCACAACAGACGTCGGGCATGTAGGTTTCATCTGTGTAGCCGATTACGAGTCGCCTGTCCACCCACTGTAACAACTGTAGCATTGAACATCTTTGATCTATATGTTTCGTAATGTTCCGTCATTCCGGGGGAAACGGTCTTGTGGGCAAATTGTCGCAATTTGTAAACCAGATCGACGTCTGTCATCAACGTATTTGTCTGTCGATATCGTGATTAAGGGCTCGTGCCACAACGCTGTCTTGCTCCAACTTCCAGCACGGCCACTGTCGTTACTGACGTGACTCACGACGCCGCATGTCAAAAAACGTTTGAGTTCAAAACTTGAACAGAACAACTTTGAGTCTGGTGTTATCACTGAATGTACAGCAACAGACCGACATGTTTAACTCGCTCGCATCTTAACCCGACCATGTTCAGGTGCGCATTATAAAAGAAAACAAAACGTTTGTACGAAATTCATAACACGTTCTGAATGGAATAATCATTTTCCAAATCCATATAAAGTCATCCAACTTAGTTCCCAAACATAATCACCCCCACATTGAGTACCCATTAATAGAATGAAATGTGAGGTGAAATGGGGTTTAACGTCGTGCTTGAGAATATTTCGCTCATTTGACGACGTGCATGCGTGTGTATGTGTATGTGCGGCTGCTTGTACTAGCCCAGACTGAAGCTGGTTTTATAGTGCTAGCCAACTGATACCATGCCGCAGTGAAGCAGGAATACCCCACTCAGACACACTATACTGACTCCGGGCCGACCAGTCCTTGTTGTACCCATTAATGGCAAGCGCCAGACAGGGACCAACAAGTACCATATTTTAACGTCTTTTGGTATGACGCGGTCGGGGATCGAACCTCTGCGGGCGGACGCTTTAACCACTACACCACGGAGGCGGTCAATAGAATATGTATCAGAACGTGGATATTTGCGGGATAATAATGACTAGGTACTACAGTATTTCTACTTGGATATTTATCACATATAATCTCTGTAGTAAATAGAAGTCATATTATCATGGGACCCTCTATTATCGCGGTAGTTAATGTTGTCGCTATCGGGATTATGAAATCCTACTGACATTTGACATTTTATATATATTTTCAGTTGACTGATGTTTAATGTTCATTTCTGTCGCAAATAATGTGCCACACAACCGCAACTCGTTCAATACGATCGCTGCAATCCCGATTGCCTCGTTTTACCCGGAAATTGAAGCAACTCTCTATTACCGGTATAGCACGCGGTACAAGCAAATGGCATTGTGTAACGTTTACTAAGACAAGTGACGAATCTAAATAGTTTTATATTAAAAATAATTTAGGAATTTCGTTAAGATTAGTAATATCATTATGTTTTTAATCAAAACATCTGAAACTTCTATTGATTTGGATACAAGGTAACAATAACGTAACAAAATACTTGTTTGCCACCTTAAAACGTACCATACAATTTGCTGTCGTGTGCAACGGGAAGTTGCGTAAAACGTCACTTCCTGTTATAGTTTTAGGACAGAAAATATGCAAATGACCTTATAGCTTTGATTCGTTAAAGATGCAATGGCGGTAGGGGTCATACTAGTTTCAAAATATTCCAGAAGTAACTGCAAAGCTGAATACTTTGATATTTTTTCGATTAGACATGACATTCCAATTAAGTAAATGATTTTTACAAATGGTTCCTTTATTACGTCAGAGACTAAGGCTACCATGTTAACTTTGCAACTTATTGAACGTACTAAGGAACCTAGATCCATCATTTATTCAAACTGTTTTTCCAGCTTACGGGCAACCAACGGCCGTAAATGTCAACTAAATCTGTCTGTGACTAACACTGACATTCTCTGGCTTCCTATAGATGTTGGTGTTAGGAACATTCTGAACAGAAACTGCAGCTAAATCTGTCTGTGACTAACACTGACATTCTCTGGCTTCCTATAGATGTTGGTGTTAGGAACATTCTGAACAAATACTGCAGCTAAATCTGTCTGTGACTAACACTGACATTCTCTGGCTTCCTATATATGTTGGTGTTAGGAACATTCTGAACAAATACTGCAGCTAAATCTGTCTGTGACTAACACTGACATTCTCTGGCTTCCTATATATGTTGGTATTAGGAACATTCTGAACAGATACTGCAGCTAAATCTGTCTGTGACTAACACTGACATTCTCTGGCTTCCTATAGATGTTGGTATCAGAAACATTCTGAACAAATACTGCAGCTAAATCTGTCTGTGACTAACACTGACATTCTCTGGCTTCCTATATATGTTGGTATTAGGAACATTCTGAACAGATACTGCAGCTAAATCTGTCTGTGACTAACACTGACATTCTCTGGCTTCCTATATATGTTGGTATTAGGAACATTCTGAACAGATACTGCAGCTAAATCTGCTATTGAGAAGTCAATACAGTGACCATGCATCTGGGGGTTGTCAATTATGTCCGACTTATTTCAGAAAAGATGGATCTAATACGTCCCATGAAATACCGACCTTGAAAGGATACTATGCCCCCACTAATTTGCTTCGCCAAGATTAGTAAGTGAGTGAGTTTGGTTTTACGTTGCTTTTAGCAATATTCCAGCAATATCACGGTAGGGCACATCAGAAATGGGCTTCACACTTGTAGATGTGGGTAATCGAACTCGAGTCTTCAGCGTGACGAGCGAACGCTTTAACCACTAGGCTACCCCACCGCCCTGGACACGATGAAATTGTGATCCGAAGGTGCCGCATAAGACAGCGTTATACAGTCATTTTCACTGCAGGGACAAGATCCCCCTCAATGTATTGCGTGTCACAGTCCTGTGAATGTCATGCATTGTTGTGGGAATGTGTGGATTTTGCACTGATACGCCAGATTTCATACAAACTTTTTCTGAGGTTTTCAATACCGTTTCAAAGAACGTGAGTTTGCATACTTGAAGGAAATTAAACTATACAGTATATGTGAAAAGATATTGATCTTTGAGTTTTAAGTTTTTAAGTTTTGAATGTCTGTTTTTACTGTTTACTGTGGTAATGTACTGACGTTTGTGATCTTGTTCACCTCTAGTGTTCATGTTGTTTGTGTAGCTACTATGTTGCCAATACGACTTATAACAGCATTTAGCATCTGCACTCCATGGAAGTATAGCCCTTTGCTGCATGTTACGTACTGTGATGATTAATGTTCACACGTGTTTCCGCGTTTAAGTTTAACATCAGTGTACATTCTGTACGCAATGTGTATCATTTAGGAACTGATAGCTTGAAAAAAGATGCAATCCAGATGTTGCACAGTGTTCAGTGTAGCAGATACATTGGTGAAATTGAACCAAATCAACAGATGCATGTGTGAAGTTGTAAAGTCTCACTGTATGTGCTAGAGGGGCTGACGACAGCAGACTCGGTTCCGGACAGAAGAGATAGCCGCGCAATTTGTTGAGGTAAAGTGTTCTACTTGCAGTATAACCCTCGATTTGCAGTATAACCCTCGATTTGCAGTATAACCCTCGACTTGCAGTATAACCCTCGACTTGCAGTATAACCCTCGACTTGCAGTATAACCCTCGGCGGTTCGAGCATAGCTTGAGCTTATTTAACGGATTATTATATTATTCAACGTCAAAGTGTAAAGTTACCCGGGAAAACATAGCAATTTGAATGCCACTTTTCTGTAAAACAGTACACACATCCCAAGTTTCTCACACACAGACACCCCATTCTACAGGTTTACAGCTAACACTGTGTTTGAGAAAAAGGGCTACCAGCAAGGATGAGCGAAATTCACGGCTTTTTGAGAGACATCTACGACTCCTCTGCTGTAAAGTGCGACTTCATCTGCACTGTCAACGATTGGAACCTCACGCCCGACATCAAGAGCATCGTCTCCCAGATCCACCCTGAGACGATGAAGAGGTAAATGCCTAAGATGCGATGTCTTGACTAGGTCTGTGTCTCATGTCTGTGAAGTGTAGGTCCGTGTCTCATGTCTGTGAAGTGTAGGTCCGTGTCTCATGTCTGTGAAGTGTTGGTCTGTGTCTCATGTCTGTGAGGTGTAGGTCCGTGTCTCATGTCTGTGAAGTGAAGGTCTGTGTCTCATGTCTGTGAAGTGTAGGTCCGTGTCTCATGTCTGTGAAGTGTAGGTCCGTGTCTCATGTCTGTGAAGTGTTGGTCTGTGTCTCATGTCTGTAAAGTGTTGGTCCGTGTTTCATGCCTGTGAAGTGTTGGTCTGTGTCTCATGTCTGTGAAGTGTAGGTCCGTGTCTCATGTTTGTGAAGTGTAGGTCCGTGTCTCATGTCTGTGAAGTGTAGGTCTGTGTCTCATGTCTGTGAAGTGTAGGTCTGCGTCTCATATCTGTAAAGTGTAGGTCTGTGTCTCGTGTATGTGAAGTGTAGGTCTATGTTTCGTGTCTGTGAAGTGTAGGTCTGTGTCTCATGTCTGTGAAGTGTAGGTCCGTGTCTCGTGTCTGTGAAGTGTAGGTCTGTGTCTCATGTCTGTGAAGTGTTGGTCTGTGTCTCATGTCTGTGAAGTGTAGGTCTGTGTCTCGTGTCTGTGACGTGAAGGTCTGTGTTTCATGTCTGTAAAGTGTAGGTATGTGTCTCATGTCTGTAAAGTGTTGGTATGTGTCTCATGTCTGTGGCGTGAAGGTGTGTGTCTCATGTCTGTAAAGTATTGGTATGTGTCTCATGTCTGTAAAGTGTAGGTATGTGTCTCATGTCTATAAAGTGTAGGTCTGTGTCTCATGTCTGTGACGTGAAGGTCTGTGTCTCATGTTTGTAAAGTGTTGGTCTGTATCTCATGTCTGTGACGTGAAGGTCTTTGTATCATATCTGTAAAGTGTTGGTCTGTGTCTCATGTCTATGACGTGAAGGTCTGAGTCTCATGTCTGTAAAGTGTTGGTCTGTGTCTCATGTCTGTAAAGTGTAGATCTGTGTCTCGTGTCTGTGACGTGAAGGTCTGTGTCTCATGTCTATGAAGTGTTGGTCTGTGTCTCATGCCTGTAAAGTGAAGGTCTGTGTCTGATGTCTGTGACGTGAAGGTCTTTGTCTCATGTCTGTAAAGTGTAGGTCTGTGTCTCATGTCTATGACGTGAAGGTCTGTGTCTCATGTCTGTAAAGTGTTGGTCTGTGTCTCATGTCTGTAAAGTGTTGATTTGTGTCTCGTGTCTGTGACGTGTAGGTCTGCGTCTCATGTCTATGAAGTGTTGGTCTGTGTCTCATGCCTGTAAAGTGAAGGTCTGTGTCTCATGTCTATGAAGTGTTGGTCTGTGTCTCATGCCTGTATAGTGTAGGTATGTGTCTCATGTCTGTGGAGCGTTGGCCAGTGTCTAATGTCTGTTAAGTGTTGGTCTATGCCTCATGTCTGTAAAGTGTTGGTCTGTGTCTCATGTCTGTGAAGTGTTGGTCTGTATCTCATGTCTATGACGTGAAGGTATGTGTCTCATGTCTGTGAAGTGTTGGTCTGTGTCTCATGTCTGTAAAGTGTTGGTCTGTGTCTCATGTCTGTAAAGTGTTGGTCTGTGTCTCATGTCTGTGAAGTGAAGGTCTGTGTCTCATGTCTGTAAAGTGTTGGTCTGTGTCTCATGTCTGTAAAGTGTTGGTCTGTGTCTCATGTCTGTGACGTGAAGGTCTGTGTCTCGTGTCTATAAAGTGTAGGTCTGTGTCTCATGTCTGTAAAGTGTTGGTCTGTGTCTCATGTCTGTAAAGTGTAGGTCTGTATCTCATGTCCGTGACGTGAAGGTCTGTGTCTCATGTCTGTAAAGTGTTGGTCTGTGCCTCATGTCTGTAAAGTGTTGGTCTGTGCCTCATGTCTGTTAAGTGTTGGTCTATGCCTCATGTCTGTAAAGTGTTGGACTGTGTCTCATGTCCGTGAAGTGTTGGTCTGTATCTCATGTCTATGACGTGGGGGTCTGTGTCTCATGTCTGTGAAGTGTAGGTCTGTGTCTCGTGTCTATAAAATGTTGGTCTGTGTCTCATGTCTGTAAAGTGTTGGCCCCTGTCTCATGTCTGTAAAGTGTAGGTCTGTATCTCATGTCTATGAAGTGTTGGTCTGTGTCTCATGCCTGTAAAGTGAAGGTCTGTGTCTCATGTCTAAGAAGTGTTGGTCTGTGTCTCATGCCTGTAAAGTGTAGGTATGTGTCTCATTTCAGTGAAGTGTTGGCCAGTGTCTAATGTCTGTTAAGTGTTGGTCTATGCCTCATGTCTGTAAAGTGTTGGTCTGTATCTCATGTCCGTGAAGTGTTGGTCTGTATCTCATGTCTATGACGTGAAGGTCTGTGTCTCATGTCTGTGAAGTGTAGGTCTGTGTCTCATGTCTGTAAAGTGTTGGTCTGTGTCTCATGTCTGTAAAGTGTTGGTCTGTGTCTCGTGTCTGTGACGTGAAGGTCTGTGTCTCATGTCTGTGAAGTGTTGGTCTGTGTCTCATGTCTGTAAAGTGTTGGTCTGTGTCTCATGTCTGTGAAGTGTAGGTCTGTGTCTCATGTCTGTAAAGTGTTGGTCTGTGTCTCATGTCTGTAAAGTGTTGGTCTGTGTCTCATGTCTGTGAAGTGTTGGTCTGTAAAGTGTTGGTCTGTGTCTCATGTCTGTAAAGTGTTGGTCTGTGTCTCGTGTCTGTGACGTGTTGGTCTGTGTCTCATGTCTGTAAAGTGAAGGTCTGTGTCTCATGTCTGTGAAGTGTTGGCCAGTGTCTCATGTCTGTTAAGTGTTGGTCTATGCCTCATGTCTGTGGAATGTGTGAGTTGAGTGCATGATGCTCCCTCTCTCTGGACTAGGTCTGTATCTCATGTCTGTGACGTGAAGGTCTGTGTCTCATGTCTGTGAAGTGTAGGTCTTTGTATCATATCTGTGAAGTATTGGTCTGTGTCTCATGTCTGTGACGTGAAGGTCTGTGTCTCGTGTCTTTGGCGTGAAGGTCTGTGTCTCGTGTCTGTAAAATGTTGGTCTGTGTCTCATGTCCGTGAAGTGTTGGTCTGTGTCTCATGCCTGTGAAATGTTGGTCTATGTCTGATGTCTGTGACGTGAAGGTCTGTGTCTCATGTCTGTGAAGTGTTGGTCTGTGGAGTTGAGTGTCATAGCGTAATTCCCCCTCTGACAGGGATATAGGACCCTTGTAACTGGACGCACATTCTTTCTCTGAGGTATTACGGCTGTGGACTGAACACGCCTGAAGCTATTGAAGGGAAACGTATCCTTGACATTGGATGCGGATCAGGCAGCCTCGTTTTCGTCCTGAGCAAATTAGTTGGTCCAACCGGAAGTGTAGTTGGTGTGGACTTTTCGCCTAAACTTGTAAGTGTAAACAGCACACAGACACATGAAAATTGTATAGATGGATATGGGTTGAGTAATATATTATGAATATAGAATCATAAGTGACATTAATGTTCCCAGACGCTGTTGTACGTTTGCAATAATGTTATAACATGATGTGTATCTCCGTTGTCAAGAGCTCCATTATCCCGATATATAATACTCGAGTCGGTATATAGACCTCATATTGGCTCATTTCTCTCTGGGACGAATAACTCGACACATGAATAAATAGCACAGAAGACGAATATCTCCATTGTAAGTCATAGTTCCTTGAATTGGATACAAAGCCCTGGCCCCACCATGGCTGGAACATGTGTAGAACAACCTAAAACCCCACTAGTTATTGTAATAATGTCCCTTAAAACTTTGTAAATTGGGTATTGCCATTTTGATTTTATCAGATTGCTGAGTGTGTGAACAGGGAGGACTACCACCGCGACAAATGGGGATACGACAAGAAAAACACCGAGTTCTTCGAAGGCAACGCCGAGAACATTTCCCAACTTGGAGATCAAAGCTTTGATGTCATTGTGTGAGTAAAACATGCATTGTTACATCTCACTTTCTACAGATTGAAAACGAACAAATGATTGTCCCTTGCAGATAACTACTAATCACCTATAGTCTGAACATTTTGGGAAGGGTTTATTATCAGCATCCCCTCTGTCAAGGTGACCGTTCAACACCTTCACTTTCTCCACGTACATATTTTGACTCTGATATTGACGAGCACTTTCCCGCGGTCACCTGTTAGAACAGTAGAGGCCCTTGAAACATCTTAAATTGACCGAATCCGTGAAGATCCGGGCTAGAATATTGGCCTTCAGTAACCCATGCTTGTCATAAGAGGCGGCTAATGCGAGAGGGTGGCCAGGTTCGCTGAGTTGGTTGACACATGTCATCTTATACCAACTGCGTCAATAGATGCTCATGATGTCAGTCACTGGATGTTGTCGTCCCGACTTGATTGTTTACAGACTGACATCAAATGGCTGGAATTTTTGCTAATATGGCTTTTAACAGCAAACATGAAAGTGTTGGAATTAATCTTCTTACCTTCACTCATATGAACACATGTTATGACTGCCATACATGTTTCTGAAAGGTTTTGGTCATGTACTTGATCGGGGTTATATCAAGGGCCTTAGTAAAGCTTTCCAAAAGTTCTGTAGTCTGCCTGGATGATTTTCTTTTAGATAAGACTCCGTGGACAAAAATGATATAGATACAATGCCTTATTATAATTTGTGTTTTCGTGCTCATGCATGTAAATGACTTGCTGTAATTGTGTTGGGTGCAACTGGTGGGGCAGGATATGGTCACTTCACTGCTAAATCCTGTGTTTTCAACAACATTTGATAGTGATTCATAGACAAATGCTAAATATTCAGTCGGTCGGATATAATAGAATGAACAAGGAAGGAGTTTTGTCGCCTTCATTTAAGTGATTATGCAGGAGTAGTGGGCTAGACTTCATTGAATTGATTGTACAGGTCTAGTTGGGCAGTCTTCATGTAATTGATCATGCAGGTTATTGGGCTAGCTTTCATTGAACTGGATATGCAGGTGTATTGTGCTAGCATTCTTTTACCTGATTATGTAAATATATATATGATGAGATTGTGTTGCTTTGTAAAGTCTGAGATGCATTCCCCCATTGAAAAATCCTCCAAATCTTTAAAGATTAGCTCTAATGGATCAATTTCCAGTTTTGAAATATTATTTTTTACGATGTTGTTAAAATCAAACGTCGTCCTTTGGTTCTGGGGGCATTATGTTTCCTCGCCATCATCGACAGTTGTGGTTCCTGTTCCTTTTCTGTTGAAATGCAACAAATAGAATTTGGTTGGGCGAAAGTTGGAAAGACGGATCATCATTTTATCGCATTTAATATTCAGAATGCATTTTTACTTGATTAAATCATTATTATTTAGATCGGATTGAGCAGATATCCGAATGTTAATTGCACACCTTTAGAGAAAACATTTGACATTTCTTGGATGCCAGGTGACTGGCAAAATCAATCTTTATTTTAAGAGATCGATCTTTGTTAACACTTTAAACACTAACAGGTCAAATGGCGTGTTTTCCTTGATACCAGACAAGTCCAAAGCGTTTGCTGAAACCTTCAGGTTGATTAAGGTAAGTAGTAAATACAGAATATCAAATTCAAAACACAATTGTGAAATTTACCTCTTTAAATACCAAGAAATATATTTTTAAATACATTGTATGTTTAACGAGTCTTTACCTGTACATGCCATTTAAAACTGAACGCCATTGCGAAAGGTTTCAATTTGAAAATTGTATAATCCCCGAATCGAGTAATAGAAAGCCAACTGTTTGGTGATATGGCAGCAGTGGAGCCTTATATTCAAAGTTAAAAGATCGAATCCATGGATCAAACCTTTGATCTGCATGAATGTTTGGTTGTTTTCCCCATTGTTCACCATAAAATCCGAACCGCTTTATGAGCAATAAAATCACCAACAGATATTCTGTACCTGTTATTGTACTGACATCCCTAAAGATGATGAGGAAACTTCTAATGCTTGGTTCGAAGGAAATGTTGTAGAATTATGTATGACAGTTCAGCATTCACTTTTCTCAATTTATCATTTACGAGATCCTAAAGCAAAATATTTGGACCCTACCCGAGCAGGTAGGCTTCGAAATAATGGCCTTCACTTTCACTGATTCAGGATGGTGGTGAGTTCTACCTGAATGACATCTACGCTGAAAAACCTGCCCCCGCCGAGTTGAAGGACGATCTGAAGCTTTTGGGGTACGGCTGCGTGTTGTCAGTGTGTAACTGTTCGGTTTTGTCTGTTGTGAAACACCTGATAAATATTTCACAAGTACGACAATTTCCTGTAAATAATCGAATCCTTATCTGACTGATTGATTTTATGATGACACCCAATCAACTAAGTTATCGAGTCCATGGATTCGTTAAGGCGCGTCGCAGAACAAGGATAGATTCTTGCAGTCTCTTTAGATCCGGAACCCCAATTGAATATTGATCAGTAGTATTGGAAAAGTGATGACACACGATAAACTGTCATATTGTTAATTGACTTTTCAGATGGTTCATTTTGGTTGCAGGGGAAAGTTGTGACGAAAATATGGCCATGTCAGAATGAAGACATTTTATCAAAATGAGAACCTCGCAATATAAACTTTATTTTTATCCTCTTTAAATGCCGCCTTCACGGGTCATTGTGTGTGTGTATATATAGAAAGTTGGTTTTTGTAAATACATGCTCATTTTTTGTGTATAACATTTTGCAATCAACAGACATCATAACATGTCATGTGTTCAAGTATCACACCTGCCTGTCTGTGTAATTACATAATGTGACAGAGACCGAACTCGGGCCATAAATCAATGCATTTTGTTTATGGTGTATAGCCTGATTGGTGTTAAGTTCAAATTGCATGTGGTCAGTCATCGCAGTTGTGTATTGAATATTGTCATTAGCAGACAGGCAGGCAGACACAGTGGTGTCAATAAAACAAGACATTGAGTTTTGTCTGTGACAGCGACATATCTATATCACCGTTAGAAATCGTGTCAACTCTAAATAATGACATTGCTTTTAAGTATCGAACTGAGAAAGTGACTCGGTAAGAAGAACGTGTGGTGAAATAGACAAATGAAATTATATAAACAGTTTATTTACTGTCATAACATACAAAAGCCTCTTTAAAAAAGTAATGTTGCTCGAGGAAATGCATATACTTTCGAATCGAAGCCATGCATAGCCCCACCACAACGAGCCTTGTGGGCGGAAAGTTTCAGATTCCGAAAGGACTTTTGGTTGAAGGGTTTTGCGGGTAGTGACTATTTCCATGTTCTTGTAGATTGGGCTGTGACTGGTTCCCAGCTGCCAGGTGAGTTGTTGTCCTCAGCCATGAAAGTGGGGTTTACCCAGCCACACCTTACTTCCGTCGGACCTCTCGACATGATCGACAGTTTCAAGAAATCGCTACGTGAGTAGTAATGTTAAACTGACATCACTGTCTTCAATCTTGTAACCCAGAAGGGTTAATGCAAAAACATGCAACATGTATTACCTGAGTCCGTGGACTTTTGTAGTAGTCATTGTCGTAGTGACTAATATGTTCCCGATCCTAGAGGTGATAAAGGCAGCCCATGTACAATATTGACATATCAGCAACTTTTGATGCAGTTTCTATAGCTATCGCATGGTAACCGTAATCAAAGACGTATATACGTCCTTGCCGTAATTAATGTTTCAACATCTACATCGTCAGCCGGAAGAAGATACCTTTGCGCGAGCAACCGGATGTTTCGTTTGGGAAGCGGAAGTGACAGGGGACCAGCTTCTGTGACGTACAAAGGAAACATCAAAGGGTATACGTCGGAGTTCAGATGGGACGTCAATATTACCTTTAAGGTGAGAGGAGTGATACAATCCTTTCGTTATATGTGTTTATCATCTAATGAGGGTGTTATCGGTGCAATAAAGCAATTTAATAAACTTGGTATCTAAATCTGAACACCGCCTCCGTGGTGTAGTGGTTAGAGCGTCCGCCCGGAGAGCGGAAGGTCGCGGGTTCGATCCCCGACCGCGTCATACCAAAAGACGTTAAAATATGGTACTTGTTGGTCCCTGCCTGGCGCTCGGCATTAATGGGTACAACAAGGACTTGTCGGCTCGGAGTCAGTATAATGTGTCTGAGTGGGGTATTCCTGCTTCACTGTGGCATTGTATCTCAGTGGACTAGCACTATAAAACCAGCTTCAATCTGGGCTAGTAGAAGCAGCCGCACATACACATACACACGCATGCAGGTCGTCATATGAGTGAAATATTCTCAAGCACGACGTTAAACCCAATTTCACCTCACCTCACCTCTAAATCTGATAACTATGCAAATTACGTCAATCCACGAACTACTTTCATAAAACTCCATACAAGCCATGCGAATCCTTAAACGTTTAAACATTTCATTGAGGACGTCGTCGCGAGTTTACATTGCGTGGACGAGTTTGTAAATAAACATGGCTGCCCCCATTCTCAAAATTGGTGATTCTGTAAGAATTGATGACAGAGGTTCTGGAGTCGTTACTGCAGTAACTGACTTTGGAAAACATGAAACGGAGGACATGAAATTGAAGGTACGGATTATGAGGCACAGTGACAGGCGATCGTCTAAGAAAGGTACCAACCAAGGATTTCGATCTACCGATCACAATACAGACGATACAGGCTCGCAAAATACCATTTCTATTCCTAATATATGATACTAATGATACGGAAACACACGAGGTTAATAATCTCTATATATGTTTGATCATGCACATGGTGCGTCCATGTTTAGGCCCAGGACAGATAGGCAATAAGTAAGCATCCCCTGCACTTTCTGCTCCCCGTGGAATTTCTGTTCGCGTTAAAACTGTTAATGTTATGACATAGCTAGTCATACAATAACTGATTGGTAAGGAACAGTTAACAGTTTAGCCGCTTCTCGTTGCATGATGTTAAGCAGCGCTTCCAACACTTTAGAGTCACGTGATTGAGATCGCGAGCAAAGATCCATCCCGATGACACTCGAGGACAGGTGCCATAGTCACAGAGCCCCCGGCCCATTGCTTCAAACCATGTAATAAACTGTACCTTGGGATCTATATAAAGTGTAATCCCCGGGGCGGGATGATTGACGAAATCTCACTGGTTCAATAATAACCAATAACGTACCTTGCCTCGCCATGTAGTATGCTTCGCCATCGTTATCTTTAAGACGTGTATGTTGCTGTAGGTTATCCCTGGGGATACACGCTAAGAATGATGCCTTGCAATATGGGCGGCTTTGCTGTGATAGCACCCCCACGGTGATATCAAGTATATGTTAAACTGATGTGGCCAGACTTAAAGATAATGTCCAACTTCATATAGAATATTGCTGAGTTACAAATAAGCTAACTGCCAATAAACAGTGTTAAATTCTCTTATGAATCCGTTGGAATGCATACTTCAATTTTCCATTTAGAATTTTAATCTCAAAGTTGAAATATAAAATACGTTCTAAATAGCATCTCATGCGTATCAAAACACCGAAGTACAATGATACAAATACAGTTATAATATGTTTTGACAATAACAACTGCTTTTTGTAAATTAGGTTGTTAGATGTCAACAAAATAGCTCCAGTATTTTTACTTATAGTCATACAGACAAATGAACTTATTAATTATTAGTAAGGATTTTGTCGTAGTTGTGAAACATTTAGATAATCTGGAGGCAGGTGTGTGTAGGGTGTAATGTAATACACAAAATGTTGATAACACAATGAAACCTCCAGTATTTTAAACTCGACTTGAGTTATCTGCACTTGATATATCCGGTGCACTAGACAACCTAGTATTCTACAAAACAGGTTTCCACTGATTCTCTATGTAAATGCAATACCGTAAGCCCGTGATAGGATCAGCGTTTAGTCTACGATGCTATGTATGCAAAGTTAATGGAACGCGGTGATTATTAATCTCTATGTAAATGTGATGGTACAAATACCGTAGACCCCTGATAATATCAGCATTCAGTGGACGATGTTATGTGTGCAATGTTAATGGAACATATGACTTGCTGTGCATTTCACTGGAAATGTTTCCTTTCCGTATTCGCACACTGAAATCATTCCACTTACTTTTCACGTTTTGACTAGTGATCATTACCTTATTGGTAGTCTGTCTCACAGTCCCTGAACCACATTATTTTCCCTACTGCCAAGCCCTCTCTGCAGTGCTAAAGCCCTAAATAAAGCAAGTCTAGATTTCCTCAGGTTCTGAATCTCTGGTCTCCCTAGGGCTCCTTTTCAATATAAATGGGCTTGTTTGTTACTATCAAAATTGTATATATTCAGAGACTAAGCCTTAGTCTACCTTATTGGTAAACACCACGGTTGCAGAACAGCATTTCTTTACATTTTCATTACATTACTTTACAGTTGGTTGCGCACAAATATTGCCTGGAACATACAAATCCAAATCATATCTTTGAAATATCATCTCATAAAACATTTACAAAGTAAACCTCTACTTTTATGTGGAATCCTTTGAAAGTAATGTAAAAACAAAATTATTTGATCCTAAACGCTGCCTGTTGTCAGCTGATAACATCTACGTCCTTACAAACAGATCGCAACCTCACAAACAGATCACACAGCTGTAACCCTCTTTATAATCTATGACATCAGGGTGTAACATAAAAATCTCATACCCAGTGACATACATATGTACAGAAGATAAACGAAAACTACATATTCTACACCGTATAGCGGGAATTTGCCTCAGGAAAACAACAAGCATTCGTGCGGTGCTGGAACAACGTCTTGCTGAATGACCTGGCCAGATTCAGATGACGTAGTAGACAGCCTATGACGTTCACACGTTGACCCTATTACGACGTGTTTGTTGGGAGAAGGTCTGGTCTCATGTCTGTCCATGTTCTTTCAATGGATGTTGAGCAACTGGACATAAGAAGTGACAATACTGCGTTGTGAGCTCGGGCGTAAGTCAACCAATCCGACTTGCTAATGGTACAAGCATGGACGTCAGTATTGTGACCCTTCCTCGCACAATATGGAGTTGGGTTTGCTCAGCCATATTGATGCCACCAGATGCCACCATCAAATCAACCATGAGCTCTCTGGTTTACACTGGCTTGAGCTGCCAGACACGATCATGTAGGAGGTGGGAAGTGAATCAGCGTGACACGTGACCAGCGACAATTACCCCAGTTTCGGTTTTGTGAATACGGTGGACCTTTTGGCCAAATGAAGATTTGTAAGGGTCATGTGGCAGTCGAGCACAGAAATGAGCTGCATGCAGACGATACGACACGTAGGAACCTGATGAAAATTAGCCGAAATTTGATTTGTCTTTTGAGTTCGATTTCGTAGAGTTTGGCGTCGGATCAACCGATCCTCTATTCCCGAACGGCGGCGATCATCCAACATTTGGTAATGTTGGTATCTGTTCCGTCATCTGCTCATCAAAGGTTCTGAAACATTGAACGTATTGGCCACAGCACGCCGACCTCTACCAGTTTCCATAATTCCAGTAACCAGATGATCCTCCGTGCGTTGCAGACGCCGCATCTCTGGTCCATACACAATTAATGAATAAAATCAAGTTACTATATATCACCGCGGCAGACTCTATAGACTGAAGTGATAGTCCACAGAGATTTAAAGTCCCTTGAAAGTGCAAAATATCGTATGTATTTTGATGGTGTGTTTACATAACATTTATTACTAACATATATCCCCTACTTTTTTCAAAGAGTATGTCTTATAGTGTGGGACGAACAGAATATTAACATCAGTCTCTAATTAACCAGTAGTAGACTTAATGTGGTAGTGCTTGATATTTCAGAAGCATGCCAACCACATTCTTAATGAATCATCTTTTTGTAACATATATAGTTTTCTCCAGTAAAGTTGTCTAGTTCTTTGGACGATAGGGACGTCTAGTGGTCGGAGCGTTAGCTCGTCTTATCTGAGTTCGATTTCCGTATATGGGTATAATATGTGAAGCCCACATAATGTGTTTATTTGTGTTTGGTCTTAACATAAGACTTTTATTGTTTCACTGTATCAGTGCATTGTAAGCAACAGCAAGAATGTTCATTCCATATTTCAGACTGGGGAGGCGGTACTAGTGGACGGGAAACTGGCCACTATCTTGGCCAGTACTCGGTACAGAGAATTCTTTGACTTTGAAGACACTTCTGCTCATGTCGAAACAAGGCGGGTAAGTTCCCCTTATACATTTCCAGCACCACTTTTCACATTTAGTTATCTACCTTACAGACACTCGTCAGTACGTCTCTTTAAGAATCTGGTGGGTAGCTGGTTCCACTTTCAACATGCTATTGGGGAACCAATTTTTTAAGTCGAATCTAAATGTTCACTACTATGATTAATCGGACTAACAGCTGTACATTAGACATTTTATCAAAATTTCAAAGACGTTTTTGAAAATGAAAGTCTTTCATTTATTTGTTCTCGAAAGTTTACCATATTGTGCCAACCTACATATATATTCACACATTGACTATCTGAACACTTTCCTAAACCGATCACTGCCAAGGGACTTCAATGTATCTTTGACTTCTGAATCCTTAACGTAAAGACTACTCCAGGCCTATTGCTATGTCTGTCCTGTGTATACATCTACTACTGTTCTATGATGACCCTTTGTTCTATGTGAAACAAGCGATCTGGTGACGGTTTACCCTTATATTTCAGTGTCAGAACCCCTTTGTGTACCTGGACCAGCTGTCATCCCAGGGCAAACATCTCCCCTGTATCTTCACCATGGGGCTATACCAGTGATGTCAACCATACCTGAAAAACTGTTGATTTCATTTGGTGCCAGACGGTCTGTTAGAAATAATATCCATTAAACGTTGGCTGAATCATTTTCGGTTTTTCATATATCTTGTTTGTTCGTTTGTTCTTCACGCCACTGTCTGTCCCCGACCGCGTCATACCAAAAGACGTTAAAATATGGTACTTGTTGGTCGCTGCCTGGCGCTCGGCATTAATGGGTACAACAAGGACTGGTCGGCTCGGTGTCAGTATAATGTGTCTGAGTGGGGTATTCATGCTTCACTGCCGCATGGTATCTCAGTGGGCTAGCACTATAAAACCAGCTTCAGTCTGGGCTAGTACAAGCAGCCGCACATACACATACACACGCATGCACGCCGTCATATGAGCGAAATATTCTCAAGCACGACGTTAAACCCAATTTCACCTCACCTCATCTCATATTCCAGCCCGGGTCAAGCAGGCTAGTGGTTGATAGTATGAACACCAGTGAAGTGCGAGCACACAATTCCTGATCAAACAATGTTGGGCCAACAATGGCATAAAGCTGTAATTTCACCCAACAATATTGGACAGTGTTGATTTGTCATCATATATGATGAGACACTGTTTATTACAAATGTCTCAGTGTTGAGTCATGCTATGGCAGCCATCAAGGTAATGGCATATAAAACACGTTTTTTAATCCTGAAACAACACATGTTGATTACATTTATGAACGGACCGCGTTATATGTGCAGCATAGAATCATTCATCTGCCTCAAAGCAATCAGTGTTGGGTTTTTCATTAACATATAGATCGAACTAAATAAGACATAACTGTGTAATGTACTTGCTTCTCCAAGGTTTTGAATTTTGTAACACTGATGAAACAATCTTTTAATTGGAAGCTTATGCCACACCTTTTGAAAAAGGTTTGTTCGGTTGGACCTCACAACGTCTGACATGAAGGAAAAGGTTGGTCAGTGGAAACTTGCACTGTCATCCTTCTTGTCATACAATGTTCTGGAGATTTTCTTGTCACTCTAAATCCTTCTTGTCATACAGTCTTCTGGAGAGTTTCTTGTCACTCTAAATCTTTCTTGTGATACAGTCTTCTGGAGATTTTCCTGTCACTCTGAAGCCTACTTGTCCTACAGTCTTCTGGAGATTTTCTGGTAACTCTGAAGCCTACTTATCCTACAGTCTTCTGGAGATTTTCTTGTCACTCTGAAGCCTACTTGTCATACAGTCTTCTGGACAATTTCTTGTAAATCTGAATCCTTCTTGTCATACAGTCTTCTGGGGATTTTCTTGTAACTCTGAATCCTTCTTGTCACACATTTTTCTGGAGAGTTTCTTGTCAATCTGAAGCCTTCTTGTCCTGCATTCTTCTGGAGATTTTCTTGTCAATCTGAATCATTCTTGTCATACAATTTTCTGGAGATTTTCTTGTCACTCTAAATCCTTCTTGTCATACAATCTTCTGGAGAGTTTCTTGTCACTCTGAATCGAACTTGTCATACAGTCTTCTGGAGAGGTTCTTGTCACTCTGAATCATTCTTGTCATACTTACTTCTGGAGAGTTTCTTGTAACTCTGAATCCTTCTTGTCCTGCAGTCTTCTTGAGAGTTTCTTGTCAATCTGAATCCTTCTTGTCATACTTACTTCTGGAGAGTTTCTTGTCAAACTAAATCCTTCTTGTCTTACAGTTTTCTGGAGAGTTTCTTGTCAATCTGAATCCTTCTTGTCATACTTACTTCTGGAGAGTTTCTTGTCAATCTGAATCCTTCTTGTCATACTTACTTCTGGATAGTTTCTTGTCAATCTGAATCCTTCTTGTCCTACAGTCTTCTGGAGAGTTTCTTGTCAATCTGAATCCTTCTTGTCATACTTTCTTCTGGAGAGTTTCTTGTCGATCTGAAGCCTTCTTGTCCTGCAGTCTTCTGGAGAGTTTGTCACTCTGAATCCTTATTGTCATGCATTCTCCTGGCGAATTTCATACAATGAATAAATATCTTTGAGTATGTTTTGCATACCTTATTTCTGTGTCTCCACTAGTGGTAATAGTGATTAAATACACTTTACAATATGTTTTCAAACATAATGTTTTCAGTAAATAGATTGTGGAAGGATGATCAGAAGGTAAAGAACTCGTTGTTACTGCATGTAGAGTAAGCAATATATTTTGTAATTTCATTTGGCTATTTTTTATATCTTCCTTACTACATGCTTGAAATTTGGAACTTTTATTTTCTGTGTATATATTACTTAGTTCGCAAACAAGACATATTGCAAGAATTATTATTTTCCCCTTTAAATCCAAGTAAAATGTTTTCTGATGTAAAATCAATGTTCTGACTCTACAAAATCTTTTTAACATGACAACAATTACAGAATAGATGGACAATTGTTTCTAACTCTTTTGAACTGAATGTACATATAGGGGTGTCTTTTAGACCGAATTTACTTCGGAAAATGTTTGTAGGTATAACATCGTATAATATCTTCATCTGTAACCATTTCAATTTTTTGTACAGCAAATTTATTGTTACTCTGAATCCTTATTATCACATTCAACCTTCTCGAGAGTTTCTTGTCGCCACAACAAGTGTTATTATATTGTGTTAGCAATATTCCAGCAGGGAATGACCGCAGGAAGCGTGGGTGTTCGTGGCGGCGAGTGAACACCTCACATCCTTCATAACCTGGGAACGCCATCTAGGTATATCTAAAGATTTTTCACGCTTAACGTGTTTGGACCAGTGTTTGATATGACCAAACGTTCAACGCCAGCACGAAAACACCGTTAACGGGCGACCTTGGCATAACACTGTCGCCCATCAATATTGTTCAGAGTAAGGCTTCATGTTAGATAATACAAGGCAATATAATACCTGAAAATGGATTTATTCATTGAAAACGGACCACTGGTCGGCACTAGCTACAAAGACAACCATAGTTTATTGAGGTAAAGGCAGACATCTAAAGTAGAGCCTGATGGTATAAAAACATACCTGGACAATTGAATAGATTTAACAATCAACAAACACATGCTGTTTATATTTTATAACGTTTTTACGTATCGTTTTATTCACTGTCTTGGATGGGGCTAAACAGCGTAGGTTGCTGTCTTGGATGGGGCTAAACAACGTAGGCTGCTGTCTTGGATGGGGCTAAACAACGTAGGCTGCTGTCTCGGATGGGGCTAAACAACGTAGGTTGCTGTCTTGGATGGGGCTAAACAACGTAGGCTGCTGTCTTGGATGGGGCTAAACAACGTAGGTTGCTGTCTTGGATGGGGCTAAACAACGTAGGTTGCTGTCTTGGATGGGGCTAAACAACGTAGGTTGCTGTCTTGGATGGGGCTAAACAACGTAGGCTGCTGTCTTGGATGGGGCTAAACAACGTAGGCTGCTGTCTTGGATGGGGCTAAACAACGTAGGCTGCTGTCTTGGATGGGGCTAAACAACGTAGGCTGCTGTCTTGGATGGGGCTAAACAACGTAGGCTGCTGTCTTGGATGGGGCTAAACAACGTAGGTTGGGGCTAAACAACGAAGGTTGCTGTCTTGGATGGGGCTAAACAACGTAGGTTGCTGTCTCGGATGGGGCTAAACAACGTAGGCTGCTGTCTCGGATGGGGCTAAACAACGTAGGCTGCTGTCTTGGATGGGGCTAAACAACGTAGGCTGCTGTCTCGGATGGGGCTAAACAACGTAGGCTGCTGTCTCGGATGGAGCTAAACAACGTAGGCTGCTGTCTCGGATGGGGCTAAACAACGTAGGCTGCTGTAAATCAGTTGGATGTCAGATCCAGTCAGATGCGTGGTTGACATCAATCTGGTACATCATCATAAGACTAACTTTCAGTGCCAGAAACTTTACTTAAAATGTATATATACAAAATACAATAGAATCCACATGGATCCCAGAACGAAGTTACTTTCAGACATGAGCTGGACCCCTTGTCAAGTTTATTCTTTTGTTTCTGGGAGATTGAATCGGCCATGGTATGAATGATAGATACTGAGGCTGATGATTCTACCATAAAATTCTACACTAAGGCCAAGCATTAAATCAAGGACATTTACAGGCATATTTCTACTGGTATAATATTGCAATACATGTCAGTCTAATTATGAGTTAAGGTTACATGAGAATTAAAGAAAATGTTAAATGTTAGAGACATTCCGTGAGGTGTCTTCGAACAAGGAGCCGATGACAATGTTGTGGCCAAGGATCCAGAAACGCATGGCGGCTACATCAGGCATGGCAAGATGGTGACAAGATGGTTGAAGCCTGGTCACTGTACCTTGTAGACGTATGGCAGAGTAACACCCTGGGCAGTCACCTGATCGAGGAAGTCAAATGGACACTGTCCCTGGAATATATCACAATACATGTATGTATATTTACAAGTATTGGTCAAGCACTATACAGTTACCTAGCTACTGCCATCGGCAGAGCATCGGACACAGGTCAAAATGATCGAGTATATACATGTCAGGTCGAGTATATTTACTCGGTATAGAGCTCTCCCCTGCAAGAACACCAGACAGACATCTAGAGAGTGTAAGTGTATTGATGAAACATTCTTTCACGAAACCTGTGTTATTGTGTTGTTTCCAGATATTTTGCCTGGTCACTCTACAATCACTTTTTGGGTGTTGAATTTAGCGTTTAACTTAAATTGGGATAAGACACCCTTGTTGATATTTCCGTGAACAAAAGTACATCCAAACTATCGGACTCGATCCATATCAAGTCTAACAAGAGCCTGTATGTAACCTTATCTTAGTATCAAGTGACTGTAACCTTACCCTTTTCTTTGTTGAAAAGCACAAGATAAGTATACAACGTTGCCTAGTATATAATATTTCTTATTGTGGTTTTGCGCGCTTTTATTTATTTGATGAAATGAAAGCAAGAACGGATGACATCATGCCTGTGTGTTGCAGCTTTACTTCCAGCAGCTTACCCTCTTATTGACCGTTGTGTCATCACTGTCGGTAAAGTCAAACAAACTCCCGTAACGGCTGCTGGACAAGATGCTGGCTAGTTCCCCATCCACGGAAACTGGTTCCCCCGACTGTGAAATGGAACAGTTTCATTTAAATTACTTTTCAATTGTTAAACCACTACTATAAATTCAGACAATTTCGTCACAACCATGACTTCCTCCGTTTGAAACTCAATATGACACTCCTCAAATTAGCACTAATAACAACACACACTGTAGAACTCAAACCTTAAATGTCAGATTGATGTCCCACTTGAATTCTTCTTCCCCGCCTTTGTAAGTAACCTTTGCAGGGCCTCTCTTGCCGCTAGATGGCAGGCGGAACATTCGGTTCCGGGCACAACAGTATCTGCTTCCGGCTGTAAACGAATACAAAGTTTACTTTGCGCAATGACCAAGTGAATTGCTTATTTTGGTGCGGTCAATCGCTCCTGAAATATGTTTTTACTCCGTTTGGTTATGTTTTTTCTTGAAAGTGTTTCCAGCGACCATAGGCAGGTCCATGGTTCTTTCTTAGCAACCCTGGTCGCAGTAAGTAACATTGGCGCCTTATGTATGGTGTACAGCTTACATTAAATAAACAGACATCGGTGTCAAGCAGGAGCAATTCACTCACAACCATATCAGGCCTACCAAAGAAAACTTTCCCACTGTGCAGAAAAACGCAGAAAAGCCCACATTAATCATGGAAATAGCAACATAAACATAATACCTCGCTACTGAAACAGTAAAAACGGCAACTTTAAATCGCTAAAACTGCATAAAAAAACGAAGAGCCTGCAACTTCGATATTGCGCATGCGCACATGGAAGAGGAAGTCTCGACCGCATGTTGACATTTTCCAGCTTGGACAAAAGTTACATTCCCTTTTTAAGTATTTCTGTTGTGTTATTTGGCATTTATCATCATGATACTTGTGTGCACACTTGTTTAGTTTACTTTCCATTCGTATGAAATGATTGACAGCAATTATTTCGACATATTTAATACGCGAGGCGATTCACGGTTGCTCGGAAATTTGAAAGAAGCGCGGATCGTAATGCGCATGTTCAGTAGAGGTCAATGTTCGCTGATATATAAACGTTGCAGTTTTATAGTTTTTCGTTGCTGTCTTTACTGTTTCAGTAGCGAGGTATTATGTTTATGTTGCTATTTCCACGATTAATGTGGGCATTTCTGGGCTTTTCTGTGTTTTTCTGCACAGTGGGAAAGTTTTCTTTGGTAGGCCTGCATATCTAATACACCGTTGGGCGAACACTGATTATAACAACATTCAACGATTTTTCAACTTCAGGATGCCATGCCTGTCTATAGTTCATGAAAGTATCCATTAGATTATTAGCAGCCTTTATCGGTCTGCTAAGGACAAGATGAATAATGAGTTTCAACTATATATTCTAATAGGGAATTTCGGTACAAGCAAGTGGCACTGTCGGTGAATCAGAATTTGCTGGAAACTACTACTTCTAAATTGCCACTAAAATGTGTACTCTTCGATAGAAGACAAAATGTACTCACGTAGCTTCTCCTGATAGCCGGGGCTGAGGTAGACAGGTCCCACTCCAGTGAGCGCAGGGGTGGTGAAGCCAGCTCTCTGGGCTGAGGCGTGGAACTCCTTCACAAGCTGGGAGCCGGTCAGGCCGAATACTGTGGCAACGCAGCACACAAGCATTGGGAGGTGAAACGGGGTTTAAAAAGTGTCTGAAATAAGGCCCGTCCGACCGACCGAGACGGGCTAGATTTCTAACGGGCGGTCTACATTTACAGCTAGCCAGCCCGATGGTCTGATAAAATTGATAGACTGACTGACTGACTGAGTTTGGTTTTACGCCGCTTTTAGCAATATTCCAGCAACATCACGGCGGGGGACACCAGAAATGGGCTTCACACATTGTACCCATGTGGGGATTCGAACCCGGGACTTCGGCGTGACGAGTCAACGCTTTAACCATCAGGCTACCCCACCGCCCCGTAAAAATGATAGATAACATGTTCCATACAAATGCTAAAAATTCACCATATCTTAAAATCAAATTGAGCGTTACATCAAGATTTGACAATTACTGTTTGAACTATCGTATCGCACGCTAGAAGCACTGCGTTGGCATATATATTCATGCCAATAATGGTTGTCACCCCCATCCCCAACCCAACCCCACACACCCCCACCCCACACACCCTCTCCAATAAAAAAATTGAAGGGGGTGACAACCATTATTGGCATGAGTATATTATCACTAAAACAGCGACTAAACAATGACTAATAATTTAGTTATTTTCTTTGGATTGTCTGGTCTGGTTAAATCCATTTTGGGCTGGTAACATTTTGAAGTTACCAGCCCCGATGTCTGACTGTGGTTTTGGCGCATTTCATACACTGGTTTAACGTCGTGTTTAAGGAGCGTATGCAGGTGTTTGTACTGGACTGCACTCAGATAGTACGTATACCCACTGAGCAACTATACGCTGAGCCAGTCAGTACCTGTTTCATGCCCATAAAGCCGAGCGGTAAGGTAACAAGTACAATCGTTCCAATCTGTTGATATTACTCAAGACTTGGATTCGAACCACAGACCTGTGACTCCCCATGCACACGTTCTATCCATTATCCCATCTTACAGCCAGACATTTGAATTGAACCATAGCATTACTGATAGGTAATTATGGGGATGCCTTTTGTTGGCTAAACGTCAATGTTCTAAAAAATTCAAAATATATATTTAATGATAATATGTACGGAAAGATTGGTATAAAAAATAAAGAAATAGTCTTGAAACCATTGAGAAGCATGTAAATGGGAAATGTATCACACAAAAGGCTGATGTCATACCATAGCATGTTACGTCGTCTTTCAGCTCCGGCGGCGCGCTTTGGTTCGCGTAGACGTCACTCAGGTACAACTCTCCTCCATCCTGCGCATGCGTACAAGATAATGTTAATAAAGATGATCATCCAGTCACACGAAAAGGACGAAACACTTAAAGTGAAATGGGATCAAATACGACTCACTCCTGGACTCCTCACTCTATCACGTTTTCCCATCTCCAAATACACCCCCCCCCCTCTCTATCTCTATCTCTCTCTCACTGTCTCTATCTCTCTCTGTGTCCCTTGCTCTGCCCTTTCTCTCTCTCTGCTCCCCCTCTCTCTCTCTCCCCATCTCTCTTTGTCTCTCTCTCTGCCCTTGCTCTGCCCCTCTCTCACCCTATATCTCTCTCTCTGCCCTTGCTCTGCCCTCCTCTCTCTCAGTCTCTCTCTCTTTCTGCCCCTTGCTGTGCTCTCTCTCTCTCTCTCTCTCTCTCTCTCTCTCTCTCTCTCTCTCTCTCTCTCTCTCTCTCTCTCTCTCTCTCTCTCTCTCTCTCTCTCTCTCTCTCTCTCTCTCTCTCTCTCTCTCTCTCTCTCTCTCTCTCTCTCTCATTACCTTCAACAGTCTGAATGCTTCTGCAAATACTTTGTCCTTGTCCGATGTCAGGCAAAAGACACCATTCGAACTGAATCAAAGACAAACATAAGGTGTAGGTACATTATGTAATGCCTAGTGATTAAATATATGGAATATTCATGCTTAAATTGCATATATCTGCTGGTGACGATATCAGCTGACTTCCTGTGTTCCTTGTATTCAACAATACAAAAATACAAATACTATACCGTCTTCAGGCTGCTCCTACTTCTTTCATCAATTCTCCTCCTCTACATCTCCTACGGCTTCTACTACAATATCAACTACATCCACTACGACTGTCACTGATCTTGACTTACTGGACACTCACACAATTACGTCGAACGTTTTATCTTTGAGATTTGAAAGATTTTCGGCATTTCCATTGAAGAACTCAGTGTTGGCCTTCTCGTACCCCCAGGCCTGACGGTGGTAGTCCTCCCTCGCCTTGCTCTCCTCTATCTGGAACATGTGGCTCTTGGATTACAGGATTGAGTTCTATGAGAGGATGAGGAGGCAGAAACGGCTTCGTGTTTTGTGCCCCAAACGGTGTCTAGTGCCCCACGTGGTGTCTAGTTCCCCACATGATGTCTAGTGCCCAAAATGGTGTCTAGTGCCCCACATGATATCTAGTGCCCCACTTGGTGTCTAGTGCTCCACATGGTGTCTAGTGCTCTACTTGATGCGTAATACCCCACTTGGTGTCTACAGCCCCACTTGGTGTCTAGTGCCCCACTTGGTGTCTAGTGCCCCACATGGTGTCTAGTACTCTACTTGATGCGTAATACCCCACTTGGTGTCTACAGCCCCACTTGGTGTCTAGTGCCCCACTTGGTGTCTAGTGCCCCACTTGGTGTCTAGTGCCCCACATTGTGTCTAGTGCCCCACATGGTGTCTAGTGCCCCACATGGTGTCTAGTGCCCCACTTGGTGTCTAGTGCCCCACATGGTGTCTAGTGCCCCACATGATGTTTAGTGCCCCACTTGGTGTCTAGTGCTCCATGTGGTGTCTAGTACTCTACTTGATGCGTAGTACCCCACTTGGTGTCTAGAGCCCCACTTGATGTCTAGTGCCCCACATGGTGTCTAGTGCCCCACTTGGTGTCTAGTGCTCTACTTGATGCGTAGTACCCCACATGGTGTCTAGTTCCCCACTTGGTGTCTAGTGCTCTACTTGATGCGTAGTACCCCACTTGGTGTCTGGTGCCCCACATGGTGTCTGGTGTCTCTCATGGTGTCTAGTGCCCCACATGGTGCCTGGTGTCCTACTTGGTGTCTGGTACCGAACTTGGTGCCTAGTTCCCCACCTTGTGTCTAGTGCCTCACATGGTGCCTGGTGTCCCACTTGGTGTTTAGTTCCCTACCTGGTGTCTAGTGACCCACGTGCTATCTGATGCCCTAATTGGTGTCTAGTGTCCTACTTGGAGCCTAGTTCCTCACCTGGTGTCTAGTGCCCCAATTAGTGTCTCGTGTCCCATTTGGTGTCCTATAAGTGGCCCTATTAATTCGTTTACAGTTCTCCGTTAAACAATAATTATAAGTGACTATGTTACGTGAAATCATGCGAAGTTTGTGAAAGGGGACAAATGGAGTACCAACCAAATTCTCGGCGAAGTCCACACCAACCACGTGCCCAGTTGGACCAACCAGTTTGCTCAGGATGAAAACGAGGCTTCCGGATCCACAGCCTATGTCCAGGATACTGAGACCGTCAAGGTGCTCGGGAAAGATGAATCCTGACCCATAGTATCTGCAAGTCAACTCAGGCTGTTCGAGCTACCAGCGGTGACTGAGCTTAGGACACCGAAAGTCGACCTCGGGCTATCAGGGGTGACTGAGCTGAGGACACCGAAAGTCGACCTCGGGCTATCAGGGGTGACTGAGCTGAGGACACCGAAAGTCGACCTCGGGCTATCAGGGGTGACTGAGCTGAGGACATTGGAAGTCGACTTTGGCTACCAGGGGTGATTGAGCTTAGGACACCGAAAGTCGACCTCGGGCTATCAGGGGTGACTGAGCTGAGGACATTGGAAGTCGACTTTGGCTACCAGGGGTGATTGAGCTTAGGACACCGAAAGTCGACTTTGGCTACAAGGGGTGACTGAGCTTAGGACATTGGAAGTCGACTTTGGCTACCAGGGGTGATTGATCTTAGGACACCGGAAGACGACTTTGGCTACCGGGGGTGACTGAGCTTAGGACACCGAAAGTCGACCTCGGGCTATCAGGGGTGACTGAGCTGAGGACATTGGAAGTCGACTTTGGCTACCAGGGGTGATTGAGCTTAGGACACCGAAAGTCGACTTTGGCTACAAGGGGTGACTGAGCTTAGGACACCGGAAGTCGACTTTGGCTACAAGGGGTGACTGAGCTTAGGACATTGGAAGTCGACTTTGGCTACAAGGGGTGACTGAGCTTAGGACATTGGAAGTCGACTTTGGCTACAAGGGGTGATTGAGCTTAGGACACCGGAAGACGACTTCGGCTACCGGGGGTGACTGAGCTTAGGACACCAGAAGTCGACTTTGGCTACCAGGGGTGATTGAGCTTAGCAGACCGGAAGTCGACTTCATGGGTTCGGTGAAAGCAACTTGATGTGGGAGAAAACGTCGACGTCATGGCGGTATCAGTGTATGGGAAACGCTACCCGGAACATATGGTTCAGAGATCAGTATCAACATTTAATCTCTTATATTATCGCTCTGATAAGATAGAAGGAAAAATACAGGACATACTGTCGTTTGATGTAATTCAAAAATACAGATTCATTAGTTCTGCTGAACGTTGACTCAGAGGAGAAAATCAGATAGGTAGGTTATTTTCCTATTCCATTAATACATATAAGATAGATCCACTTAAGTTCGACATTTTTGTCCATTCAGAAACGGACGTGCAGCATGAGTGAGTGTCGGGTTAAAAGCCGCTTTGACTAACATTTCAGTTTTTCCTACACACATGTACTAGTAGATGAGAAAGCCGGTGTGAGATAGCTGGTATCAAACATGTTTGAGATAGAAGGTCGTCGAGCGGCTACTCCCTGGTGATGAATAGTATTCAGACTATGACGGACTAGTTTCCACTCTGTCATTGACTTACTCGGTCGAACTCATTACGACGTTAATTAATGTTCTTAGGTCATATTAAGTTACAACTATCATCTTCGCATTGTGAAACCACAAGTGTGACGAAAACGTTTGCTTCGAGTAGTTCGTAGCGATCGTGACAGGCCGGAACAGTCCGAATCTTCATTCGTCACCACTCGTCCATTTCCGTAACCTCAAAGAGATTCTCGTCCCGGAATAGTGAGTGAGTTTAGTTTTACGCCGCACTCAGCAATATTCCAGCTATATGGCGGCGGTCTGTAAATAATCGAGTCTGAACTAGACAATCCAGTGATCAAACGTCCCGGAATAACACAAATTGGTCAAGAATGATCAATAACAGATTAATAACAGGTTAGGAGAAGAGGCGAAGAAAGAAACGGGTGACGTCACGATATGTATTACTGAGTCACAATGATTGATTAGACAATTTGGTTCGTGAAACAACATACGATATGTAACAGGCGACACATTCCTGAAATATAAGATATCAATAAGTTTCTGGAGTATTACAAAGTTGTTACTGTCATACTATAATTTTTGGTCCTCCTAATCCATCATAACAAATTGTCATATGATTTAATTTTACCTTTTCATGGTCTCGGGATGTAGTTTGGAGATGATGTCTTTGATGGCTGGGGTAAAGTCCCAGTCGTTGACGCCACATACGAACGTCAGTTTGACAGAAGTCTCATTGTAGAAATCTCTCACGTTGGTAGCCGCCTCGTCCGCCATTTCTAATTAGCTGATCAAAACAAGAAAAACGCGCAGTAAGAATCTCTATGTAAAAAATCAAAACTTTAATTGTTATAATGTCCTAGATAAACTTTTAAAAGTAGCATTGGTGGCTTACAGAGTCCTTCGATTTCCAACATGGGTACAGTGTGTGAAGCCCATTTCTTGTGTCTCCCGCCGTGTAGTTGCCGGAGTATTGCAAAAGCTTAAAGATCACATAAACCCTAGGGGGTGCAAATACATCAATCACTAACTGGCATCGTTATAAATGAAACCCCGTCATTAAAAATACTCATTTCGGCCTTTAATTGACTTAAATCGACCTTTTTGACAACAGTGCACAATTCTCACCCGCGAACGACATTTCAACCAATCAGAGCGGCGCGCCTCTATGACGTCATATGAGGAATAGCTTTGAGGGCCGATGCAGAATTCATCTACATTTTAGGGGGTAAATTATCTTGTTTACAGGCTTGTATAAACCTGAAATCGTGACAATTGTTGTGGAAAATGAAAGCTATATGTTCTCACAATCTACTGGCATTTAATTTTGTCTCCTGCTTTGCCTAGTTTCCGAGTTACAACTTGTTTTCATAGACGATTCTGTCAAAATCGATTGGTGTCGTTAGGCCCTATTTGTATAATGACTGATCCAAATTGATTCCATTTCTGTGTTTTTTTACCTCGATATTTAATCATGTCATTTAAAAATCTGTTTATATTCTCAAAACAGTGTCGGCCCATAAGTTTTCACATGCAATACAGCAATTAATACTCCCTTGTTGTAACCGTGTTAGGTGGTATAAACCTACACATGTTATTTGTCATCATTCACTTGATGGTCAGTTAGAGAATTTATAACAGGTATAACACTTAGATTACCCGACAAAGGTTCCCATTTGGCATTTCTTGTGTCTGGAGTAAATATTCAACGTTATAAACATCGATCAAAGGATTAACCGATAACACGCTGATTGATTAATTACTTTTATCTTACACAGCGGAATTGTCAAAAGGTAGTGTTTATGTATGTAGATTTACTAATCTATACTGAATACACTCTGTCGTGTCGGTGTCTGCGTAAAAACAACGTCCTTCTTTCAAAGGATTAACCGGCAATACATTGATTGATTGATTGCCCATTATTGGCTAACTAAATTACTGTTTTTAAAGAAAGGCGGACATTATGCAATTAGTTGCCAGGTGTGCTATCTTGGGTGACCAATGAGACTATACACCAATACCTGAAAAGGTTTATCACTTTTTCGTATATTAAACTGTTAAAAGACACATCATTTGGAACAGTTTTATGGATATTGATTGATACTTTCCTCGAACAAGGTAATGGCCTGGCATTGTTCCTATAACTTTAATCTGTTTTAATTTTAATATTTGCTTTTTGTTTTTATTCATTTGTGGTAGCATTCAACAGAATCATTGTTTTCGCCGTGAAGTGTAATGAGACAGACAACATACACTAGGGTGTGTGTGCGAATTATGATTCACATTGGAAAACTATAAAATGTCTAGATATTACAGTTCTGTTATAAATTCACTATAAGTATCAGCAGATCGTCTGCTTTGTATTTAGTTTCAAAATGCATACAAGTATAATAATAAACTATTTAAGATTAAAAGACCAAATATAAAGACGCACATTGACTAGTATCTACATACTGGTGAGTGGACATTAACCATGTGAATGTAGCAAGAGATTTATCTTCGAATATTGTGACTTCGACCCCCACCTTGTTTCCGTGGAAGAAATCGTTATGTTATAAGTTGTGTTATGCAAAATCCGTTTGGTTATGATTCAAATACATATTTAACTACGAGTAGAAAGTAGTTTTGATTTTCTAACTTGATGAAAACAAACTATAATCTCATTAATTCTAACAGACTTTACGATTTTCAAAAATGGCGGCGCCCTGTCGCGAACAGCCGCCAGTCTGAGGATAAATGCTATTTAGGTTTGTTTTCACCCAGTTACAAAATCAAAACTACTTTCTACTGGTAGTGAAATATGTATTTTATTGATAGCCAATGGGATTTTGCATGACATAGCGTATAACATAACAATTTCTCTCCTGGCAGCGAGGTGGGTGTTAATATAATACCACTTACAATATTATTGTTACTTCGACCATCTCCCACTTCCGAGGAAGAAATCGTTATGTTACAAATTGTGTCATGGAAAATCTTTATGGTCATCAATCATATACACATTTTACTACAACTAGTAAGTAGTTTTGATTCTTTAACTTCCGTGAAGCGATCTGAACACAAGTAAGATATCGTTTCAGGCTTCCACAACGCTCGCTTCGCACTCACAAACATAACCCATTTAGCACGAACTGTGGGGTCCTGTGGAAATCTGTGCATGGTGACACCATCACCCGACCCCTAGGAGCAATTGACGACAAAGCAACGATTCGGCATGTCTTCGTTGATGTCGAGAAATCATCAAAATGATAAGCGTGCTACACACTTTCTATACAACTAACTGAAAATCGTTCCTCATATGACGTCACTGCAGTGCTCTGGCGACAGAGTTACGTAACCTGTCTGTGGTTTCGTTGGCGGGCGAGAGGGAAGCAGGCGACTTTTTGGCCACTTTTAATCGCTCGGTATTAATTAACCACAAGTTTTTAAAGAATAAATTTGGTGTTCCACATAAGAATAACCACAAATCTTTCATATGTAATGGTTAAAAGAGTAACAAAATACAAAGTTTAGTGGTTCTTTAAAAGCTAAAAACTTAACTAAATTCACCCACCCACTTTCTAAATCAGAGTGAGTGAATGAGTTTAGTTTTACGCCGCTTTTAGCAATATTCAAGCAATATCACGGCAGGGGACACCAGAAATGGGCTTGACACATTGTACCCTGTGGGGAATCGAACCCAGGCCTTCGGCGTGACGAGCGACCAGTTTAACCACTATGCCACCCCATCGCCCCCTAAACTAGAACTCAGTTATACTCAAGCAATACAAATGCGACAGTCAAACCTGTGATTGATGTGATGAACATCAAGACATGCCGCCTAAGACTGAGTCTGTTCACGCTATTCATAACGTCGCATTAGGTGACACCCATACTAGAGGGACGGTGGGGTAGCCTAGTGGTTAAAAGACCCGGGTTCGATTCCCCACATGGGTGAAAGGTGTAAAGCCCATTTCTGGTGTCCTCCGACGTGATATTGCTGGAAAATTGCTAAAAGCCGTGTAAAACTAAACTCACTCACTCACTGCTTCAGTCGTTCCCCTCATGGGCCTAGCAGCAACAATAGTTGCCCCTGATTTGTACCCTGTACAGGCAGGTGAAGATATGTGGCCTACATCGTTCTTAGTCGCTGAAGTGAAGATTGTCCCATGCATCTAACGGTCCTTCTGTCCACTGCATGTTCAACTGCGTATGTCAGTAGCAGATTAGTGCTGGCTTAAAATGCATCAGATGGTTCAAATCCATCTGATCCATCCGCGAGCTATGTGCAAGCAAAAAACGTCCATCAATGGATCAACACAAATGTCTAGCTCAAAGATCACGTGGATCGGTACATCAGATGGATTAGAAAGGGGGATGTTTGCACCTAATTCAGGGGCTGTAATTAATATACATGATAGCTAATTAGTAGCAAGTATCAAACGCTACAGTTCAGTAAAGATAAGAAGTACAGAACCATTACCTAAATTCGTTGATAGCCTTGATTCGGTAATTATCGTGTCTCGTAAAATAAATCACGTATGAAGTCTCGCTGACTAAGGTGTTCCGAATCGCAGCCTTACACAACTACACTACAAGTAGTTATCTAACATAAATAGGCCACGATCACGGATATCAATTTTTTTGTTCACACAATGTCAGTCAACATTCTCATATCTCGTCGTCTGCTTGTCTAGAAAAATCACGTGACGTAAGATGAATCATCCGTCAATATTTAAAGCATATGGAAACCTTTTCGGGCCATCGCTTATAGCTTCTTTCGTTTCTTGTGATTCGCCGACCCCTTCACGGCGAAGATACAAACTATATTCACCTACGTCTTTGACTAATGCTTACTTAGAAATTAACAAACAATAAAGTTTCAGTTCACAGAGCGGCTTTGAATTTCTCTGTATCTGAGCAAACAGTCAGAGACAAAATGAAAGGAAGATTGATACTGACTCTGTCAAGCCAGGCATCACCTTTTTTACGTGGAGCAAAAATGTGAAGTTGTTGACCATGTAACATACATGGCATCTATTGGTTACGGATATGCCAGGAAAGAGGTCATCCATTTAGCGTCTGATTTTGCTTGTCAGTTGGGAAAACGTGACCTAGCCCACCCTTCATCTGTGAAATGATTCTATGGCATGTTTGAGCGATGGCCAGAGTTGTAAATTAGGAGTGCAAAATCTCTCACTGAATTTCATGCAAAAGCTAGTTCAGAGGAATGTGTCTGCAAGTATATTTTGATGATTATGGACAAATAAGGACAATCTTTATGGATAAAGAACATTATATTACATAACACCCTGTTTTTTACCTGATTCGTGCCTGCTTGACAACAACACAAGAATCTGTATGGAAACGTCCCATCACCTATATAAAGTAGTTGTTCATCCACAAAGTTTGGCCTTATCTGACGCTCCAACTTCTAAAAATGCCAAAGAAGATTATGGACAAATACGATACAAAATACACTGTTTGTAGAATGCGCTGTTAATTGCTTGAGGGGTTCAGTGACGGAACTGTTTCTCAATCGGGGTGGTCAGATGGAATATGCGGATATTCGTTTGATATACAACTCCTGCAATGCCAAAAGGGGCTTTTGCTTCTTCTGTAGGGTGGCCACAAGTCGCACAATTCCCCGTCTCCGAGTAACTGGGAAAAGGATCACAATGTTATGTTGTTTGTCCTCCCGGCTCACACAAGTCACATTTTGGTCCTTTCCCAAAGAATTACAATGCTGAATGTCACAAGCTATTAAAGTGACCCATTTTGATCGGCTCTAGAACAATTCACATCCTG